ACCGATTTCTGTCAGGTACCTTTTGTCTTAGAATCTGCCTCAGAGTCTGTATCTAATTTTGTCTACCTTAGATGCATGCACTCAATCATCTACTGGTGTCCCATTGTGGGGTGGCTTCAAGGGTACAGTCACATAGGACCCATGTTCAGAAGGTCCTTGTATTTGATTTAATGCTCTGCTGTTGACTTCTTGAAATTCTTTTATTTATTTATTTATTTTTTCCATTTATTTTTATTAGTTGGAGGCTAATTACTTTACATCATTGCAGTGGTTTTTGTCATACATTGAAATGAATTAGCCATGGATTTACATGTATTCCCCATCCCGGTCCCCCCTCCCACCTCCCTCTCCACCAGATCCCTCTGGGTCTTCCCAGTGCACCAGGCCCGAGCACTTGTCTCATGCACCCAACCTGGGCTGGTGAAATTCTTATTTTATCTTTGAAACTATGTTTTGGAAGACTTCCCTGGTGGCTCAGAGAGTAAAGTGTCTGCCTGCAATGCCAGAGACCTGGGTTCGATCCCTAGGTCAGGAAGATCCCCTGGAGAAGGAGATAGCAATCCACTCCACTACTCTTGCCTGGAAAATCCCATGGACGGAGAAGCCTGGTTGGCTACAGTTCATGGGGTCACAAAGAGTTGGACACAACTAAGCAACTTCACTTTCTTTCTTTCTTTTGTAAGTGAAGCCCCATGGAATAATGGAGCATGAACATGATCAGAAGAGAGGCACAAACACTCTTTGAAGCCCCACATAGTACCTAGAATTCACAATGCCCCATAAGCATACAGCGGTTCCACAATGAAGGGGATGTCACCAGGCATAAGGTAAGGGTGCTTGGTCTATAACTAAGTAAGCACACACACTGACAGCCCAAAGAGGCCAGGCTTTCCATTCAACCCAGAAATTGCTTCAAGTGCAGAAAGGAAGCAACAGTGCTCTAAGAAACACAAATAACCTAAAACCCCAGCTTACCCTTTCTTGCTTAAGTTACTTCCCTGTGCTAGCCAACCACTTAGGCTGAAAATGATGACAGAGAAGGAAAGATTTGGGTGGGAGTAAGGAATAGCTCCCTTTCCTTTCCTTACTCATCAGAAAGGCAAGATTGGTAAAGAGTGCACAAAAAAAGTATGCATATAAAAAGTGAAATAAAAGCAGTTGAGTTCATTTTGTCAGCATTTCCACAGTTCCAGTAGGAATAAACTACATATGCATGTACAAACTGCAAAACGTGAATTGTGGAACTTACGTGATTTCACATATCAGTTAAGTGCTCTTATATTTCCACTTAAAACTGGCACTGCACACTATAAAGATGAATGGTAAATTCATGCCAATCCTTTAAAATTATAACTTTCTCATAATGACATTAAATAGCAGATAAAAACACCATGTCGAGAGAGAGAGACCATGAAAGAAAGGGGAAAAGCTTTATCTTTTAAGACCTTTAAGGACAATTTTCTCCTGCTTTTTTGAAGAAGGAGCCCCACATTTTCATTTTCCATTGGGCCCCACAAATATGTAGCTGGCTCCAGTTCTATGGCCTGAAGATAAAAAAGTACTGATAAAACTGACTGTCAGCCAGGCCTTTTTCAGGTGTGACTTATTGAGGCCGTGTCATTCCCCTGTCCTGGGACTTTTAATTCAGTAGAAATTACTTGCCCCTTTGGTAAAACAAATACCTGCCCCCCAAAACATAGCTCTAAATAGATAGGAAGATGGACATAAAATGATGTGGAAGGGACTTCTACAAAGTCACAGGGTGTGCCAGGAATAGGGGCCTAAGCTGACTCTCATCTAGCCTTCAGATTCAGTGCCATGGCCTGTCAGCCCTCATCTCCACTGTGCACATCTGAGTCTTGAACATCATTTGAAAATACCCACAAAGTCATGCATTACAACCTTTTGATCACATCCCAGCTGGGGCCCTCACAATCCCACAGGAACAGATGTAAAGCAAAAGGCTCTGTCCTTCAAGAGGTTTTGCACAGAACATTCCAAGGCCTCAGGGGAGTCCTGTGTCTTGTTCGAGGTCAATGGGAGTCCATCAGTTGGCCAGTATATGCCTCTTTTGTAGCCTTGGTAAGAATTACATGTCTACATCTCCCCTGGCAGGTCAGAATATCTTTTCTAATCATTGTATCAAAATCATTAGAAATTCCGAAAGAAGATGCTGCCCATCTTTTCCCTTGAATTTCTTAGAGAATAAGACTACACAATCAAATCGAGAAGTCTTCCACCATTGGCCAGTTCCCTACTAATCAGAAGGAAACTCTAAGCCGAAACAGACCACAACCACAAGCACCTTGCAAATTGCCTGCATACCCTTCAAATGGTCACCTCAAGTCATCTAAATGGATTTTTAGGCAAATATCTCCTAGCAGATTCTAACTGCCCACTTGCTGTTCTCCTGGGGCCTTCAATGCAGAGTGCAAGGAACCCCTGAACCTAGATTTCCTCCAGAAGCCTCACAACAGTTTTTGTTTGGTGCTGAAATGCCCTTAGCAACATGGCCTAATCCTCCAGGTATTTCTGAGCTAGTCCATGTTGCTTCTAAACCCCAAAGCTCTTCCTCTATGCACAGCTATGTAGAAGGACAGATCCTTGAGAGGACCAAAATCTTCAGACTGTTCCTACCTGGAGCCCACTGGGTTGCTCAGCCAGCACTGCAGCCTGGATGGAAGGGCCAATTGCCTTTTTGCCAGAACAAACTTGCAGTTGCTATCTCTTCCCTTCAATCAGGCGCAGGGGCAAAGATTATCTTACAGGCCACACTGCATTGCTCTGGTCCTAACAACAATAATAGGGACCATACTTCTTCCTCTTTCCATCAAATGATCATTGTAAACACGTATTTAAAAATTTTAGGTTGCCCTTGAAAATAATCTTCACAAAAAGATTTTAGTGAAATGTAAAAAATGCTCTGATACAATGGCGACTGGGCATAAAAACAGGATGCAGGAGGTCCTGCACTTTGTAAACAGTTTACATTTAAGTAAAGAAAAAGATACAGGAAGGAAATATATCACAATGGATTTCTTTAGGTTGCTGTGACCATAGGTAATTTTGCATTTTCTAAAAGAAAATACATTTGATAGGCATGCATTACTTTTGCAATCCATAAATTATGAATATTAATAAGTGGCGAGCACTGGAACAAGCAGCAGAGGGGGAAATCTGCCCTTGCTACTTTCCATTCTCTCACCACTAAAGTTTTCCAGAGTGTGTGTGTTGGGTGGGGGGGGGGGGGGCGTGGAGGTGGAGGAAGTGTTCAGCTCTTAACCCCGCCCACTGGGCTGGCCTGACCAAGGAAGACACAGCTTTAGTTTCACCATGGAAATATAACCCCTTCTGGGGTAGACGGTAGGCTGTGCTAGCCATAGGCTGGCAGCCAAAAGCATGGGGTGAGGGGCAACCCTAGAATGCCCATGGAAAATACTAAATAGAAGACCTGCTGCCACTCTGAAATCACTGCATTAGTGATTTCTCCACCCATGGCCACTCTGCCCTTTACATTCATCAGGCAGTAGTGAATATGCCAGAGACTTGCGGGAAAGGAAGGGAATCACTATGTGCCTTGTGATTGACTGAAATACATCTATGCCATATTACTACTACTTTACCTGCTGCAGTTACCAGTAGGACTGCTATCACAGCACCATCCCCACCGTTGCTACTACTACTATTATTATTAATCCTTCATGTTTGTAAACTACTTAACAGATTTCAAAGTGCCTGGCTCTGCCTGATTAAAGATGACACTGGATATGGCCTCATGGAAGCTGAGGTAGGCTGGCACTAGAGGCATTCAAGGGGACAGCTGACTGGCACTCCGAAATAGAGCACAATTATTCACATACATTTTTCATCCCTCAACTGTCTGGGCTCCAGACAAATCCACCATCCCCAGCCACACCCATTCTCCTCACCTAACTCTGCTCCAACTGTCCAGAGCTAAAGAGTTTGGGCAACTTCAAGGGTTAGGGACCAGAAGTGATGGCCTTTAATTTGATCAGAGGAGGTGGATCATTCCCAAACCCCACCAGATGGGGTGGGGGAAGACCAAAGAGTGCTTTTCGAATATAAGGCCTCTGGCAACCTCTTCCACCTTCTCTCAGGAAGGCCCTGGAATGACCCAGACTCCTCCGTTTTTAGAGACTTTAAAATTTCCTGTGCCGAAGTTAATTTTTAAAAATGCCCGACTTTGACCTTAATCTCCAAAGTGTACTCGGGAATTTCTTTTCCCAATGAGAGGACTCCCTTTTCCTCAAAGCCTAGCAGTCAGCTGGTGTGAGAACCAGTGCTACACGGAGTGGGAGGCGGGGGGCGAGAATACAGCACAGCTCAAGCCCAACCTTGAACTAGTTTCCCTTTGAGACTGCTCTCTTCACCTGGCAACCAAGGCCCCAGCAGAGCTCGGAGAGAAGAAAGTGCATTTTGGAATCCATTTTGCTTGAGATGCTGAAAGCATCGTAGCAAACTGCCCTTTGCCACTGGGGCCAAAGGGACTCGGGCAAGGACTTGACTCAGAGATGCGGTCAGCTGGGGGGAAGGTGAGGGCCAGCTCTGGTGCCAACGATCCCCGGGGGCCAGCAGCCACTGGGCATGCGGTGGGTGCGGGTGGCCCACCCCGGGTGCTGCTTCCCGCATTTGGACCCGGGTCCACGGGTAAGCAGTAGTAGCAGCACTCGCCGCCAGGCCGGCTGGGTCCCCCATCTGTCTGTCCAGCTATTTATAGGCGAGATTTACGAGGATGCGGGGGAGGAATGCGGGATGACCACTAGTTTCAGAAGGTTTAATCCTAAAAGTCACACTTTTCCCAAAGCGCCCCCCATCCCGGGTTCTCCTTCCCGGAGCGGCACGGTCCCCGCGAGGGAGCGCGGGGCGCGGCGCGGTGACCGGAGGACCGGGGCCGGAGCATAGGAACCAGCTCCGGGCTGGAGACGGGGAGGGCAGGGGAAGGAGGGGCCGGGAGCGCGGCGCGGCGCGGTGCAGCTCACCTGCCAGGCTGTTGTAGCAGTCGATCTCGATGGCTTCCACCGTCTTGCTCTGCTCCTCCGAGAGGCGGCCGGGGTTGGGGGCCCCGGCCGGGGAGGCCCCGCGCGAGTCCCGTTCCCGTTCCCCGGCGGCCGGCAGCAGCCCCTTCAGCTCCAGCAACGCCCGGTGGTATTTGCCGATGGCTTCGCGGAATTTCTTATCCTTGTAGCACTGCGCCCCTTGGCTCTTGAACTCGTGCGCGCGCCGGATGAACTCGGCGGGCTCGGCCGCCGCCCCAGCCTGGCCCCGCGCCGGGGTCCCTCCGCCGCCGCCGCCCGGGACGCACAGCGGCGGCTGGGGCCGCTGCGCCTCGCCGGCCGCGGGCGGACTCGGGTTCCCCTTGGCTCCGGCCGCCGAGCCCTTCCTCTCCATTCGGCCGCCGCCCGGCGCCGCCGCGCCCTCCGGGGTTTAAACGCGGCGGGCGCCGGCCCCGCGCGTGGAGAGCTCGGCCGCGGCCGTGACACCCCGCGGCGGTCTGTCGTCCCGCACTCCCATTCTCCTCGCCAGCTGCGGGAGGCTGCGCTCTCCTCCTCCTCCTCCTCCTCGGATTGCCTTCCCCTCCTTCCCTCCGCCCTCCCTCCCCCACTCCCGCGCCGCCCGCCCTCCGCCTCGCCCTCCTCCCCTCCCGCAACCTGCGGGCGGCGGCGACCTGGCCCCGGCGCGCTCGGGGCTAGCAGGGCCGGGGGCCGGGGGCCCGAGGGGCTTGGCGGGGATTGTCGCTGACCCGGAAGAAGCTTGGCTCGCCTGAAGGAGGGGAGGATTAGTGACAAAGACGAGCCCTTTCCCATTCAATCCAGCCCTCGGAGGCGCGCCTAGTCTGAAAGAGACGCATGGGGGAGGGTGTGTGTGTGTGTCTGTGTGTGTGTGTGTAGGGATGTATTGTGAGTGAATGTGAGTGTGTGTGTGTGTAGGGATGTATTGTGAGTGAATGTGAGTGTGTGTGTGTGTAGGGATGTATTGTGAGTGAATGTGTGTGTGTGTGTGTGTAGGGATGTATTGTGAGTGAATGTGAGTGTGTGTGTAGGGATGTATTGTGATTGTGTGTGTGTGTGTAGGGATGTATTGTGAGTGAATGTGTGTGTGTGTGTGTAGGGATGTATTGTGAGTGAATGTGTGTGTGTGTAGGGATGTATTGTGATTGTGTGTGTGTGTGTGTAGGGATGTATTGTGAGTGAGTGTGTGTGTGTGTGTGTGTGTGTAGGGATGTATTGTGAGTGAATGTGAGTGTGTGTGTGTGTAGGGATGTATTGTGAGTGAATGTGTGTGTGTGTGTGTAGGGATGTATTGTGAGTGAATGTGAGTGTGTGTGTAGGGATGTATTGTGAGTGAATGTGAGTGTGTGTGTAGGGATGTATTGTGAGTGAATGTGAGTGTGTGTGTAGGGATGTATTGTGATTGTGTGTGTGTGTGTGTAGGGATGTATTGTGAGTGAATGTGTGTGTGTGTGTGTAGGGATGTATTGTGAGTGAATGTGTGTGTGTGTGTGTGTGTAGGGATGTATTGTGAGTGAATGTGAGTGTGTGTGTAGGGATGTATTGTGAGTGAATGTGAGTGTGTGTGTAGGGATGTATTGTGAGTGAATGTGAGTATGTGTGTAGGGATGTATTGTGAGTGAATGTGAGTGTGTGTGTAGGGATGTATTGTGTGCGTGTGTGTGTGTGTGTAGGGATGTATTGTGAGTGAATGTGTGTGTGTGTATGTGTAGGGATGTATTGTGAGTGAATGTGAGTGTGTGTGTAGGGATGTATTGTGAGTGAATGTGAGTGTGTGTGTAGGGATGTATTGTGAGTGAATGTGAGTGTGTGTGTAGGGATGTATTGTGAGTGAATGTGAGTATGTGTGTAGGGATGTATTGTGATTGAATGTGAGTGTGTGTGTAGGGATGTATTGTGTGCGTGTGTGTGTGTGTGTGTGTAGGGATGTATTGTGAGTGAATGTGTGTGTGTGTGTGTGTAGGGATGTATTGTGAGTGAATGTGTGTGTGTGTGTGTAGGGATGTATTGTGAGTGAATGTGTGTGTGTGTAGGGATGTATTGTGAGTGAATGTGTGTGTGTGTGTGTGTAGGGATGTATTGTGAGTGAATGTGAGTGTGTGTGTAGGGATGTATTGTGAGTGAATGTGTGTGTGTGTGTGTGTAGGGATGTATTGTGAGTGAATGTGTGTGTGTGTGTAGGGATGTATTGTGAGTGAATGTGTGTGTGTGTGTGTAGGGATGTATTGTGAGTGAATGTGAGTGTGTGTGTAGGGATGTATTGTGAGTGAATGTGAGTGTGTGTGTAGGGATGTGTTGTGATTGTGTGTGTGTGTGTAGGGATGTATTGTGAGTGAATGTGTGTGTGTGTGTGTAGGGATGTATTGTGAGTGAATGTGTGTGTGTGTGTGTGTAGGGATGTATTGTGAGTGAATGTGAGTGTGTGTGTAGGGATGTATTGTGAGTGAATGTGAGTGTGTGTGTAGGGATGTATTGTGAGTGAATGTGAGTATGTGTGTAGGGATGTATTGTGAGTGAATGTGAGTGTGTGTGTGTAGGGATGTATTGTGAGTGAATGTGAGTGTGTGTGTAGGGATGTATTGTGATTGAATGTGTGTGTGTGTGTGTAGGGATCTATTGTGATTGAATGTGAGTGTGTGTGTAGGGATGTATTGTGAGTGAATATGTGTGTGTGTCTAGGGATGTATTGTGAGTGAGTGAGTGTGTGTGTGTAGGGATGTATTGTGAGTGATGTGAGTGTGTGTCTAGGGATGTATTGTGAGTGAGTGAGTGTGTGTGTGTAGGGATGTATTGTGAGTGATGTGAGTGTGTGTGTAGGGATGTATTGTGTGCGTGTGCATGTGTAGGGATGTACTGTGAGTGTGTGCGTGTGCATGTGTAGGGATGTACTGTGAGAGTGTGTGGGGGGATATATTGTGTGTGTCAGTGTGTAGGGGTGTATTGTGAGTGTGTGTATAGGGATGTACTATGAGTGTGAATGGGGGGATATATTGTGTATGTGTGTGTAGGGATGTATTGTGAGTGTGTGTGTGGGGGGGATGTATCGTGAGTGTGTGTGTGTGTGTAGGGATGTACTGTGTGTGTGGGGTATATTGTGAGTGTGTGTGTATGTAGGGATGTATTGTGAGTGAATGTGTGTGTGTGTAGGGATGTATTGTGAGTGAGTGAGTGTGTGTGTGTAGGGATGTATTGTGAGTGAGTGAGTGTGTGTGTGTAGGGATGTATTGTGAGTGAATGTGAGTGTGTGTGTAGGGATGTATTGTGAGTGAATATGTGTGTGTGTCTAGGGATGTATTGTGAGTGAGTGAGTGTGTGTGTGTAGGGATGTATTGTGAGTGATGTGAGTGTGTGTGTAGGGATGTATTGTGTGCGTGTGCATGTGTAGGGATGTACTGTGAGTGTGTGCGTGTGCATGTGTAGGGATGTACTGTGAGTGTGTGTGTGTGTGTGTGTGTTTGTAGGGATGGGGGACCCCAGGCTGTGAAGCACATGCAGACTCACCCTCAATAGATTTCTTAAAAACTAAAAGGACCGCTGCGGCAGGAAGCAAGGGACATAGGCACCAGCTGCAGCACCTGTTTCTTTGCAGTAAGAACCAGGAGCCGTGTTAATACTTGTGCGTTAATAATTTGAAGGTGGCAAGGCCTCTTTTCCTGTGGGTACAGGTTGTCACTGAGATATGTCCCTGTATGTGGCCACCCAGGTGCCCAGAACACAGTGGGCACTTCACCCTGTAGGGCGTTGTGTGTTCTGAGAGCCGCCGTGTGCTGGCGCCTGGGTGTGCAGGCAGTTGTGCAGAATGAATCACAGACATCAGAGATGGAAAACACCTGTTCCTGTTGGTCATCAAGGCTGGGCATGTGTCCTAGTTTCCATTTACAGGACAGTTCTGCCCTGCCTCAGAAGGTTCCATTCCTTACTTCATTCATTCTTTCAGACTGCCCTGGCTGGCTGCTGGGGATTTGCTGAGGTCAAGGGGCAAAGATAATCCAGGAAGGGACTGTCCTGATCTCTAACTAACTCCCAGTCTACTGGAGGAGATAAACCACCCACCCGTATACTCACTCTGCCAGGTAGAAATTGGTAAATGTCGCCAGAAGGAAAAGAAAGTCCTGTGGAGCCCCAAGGAAGGGAAACTTTGTGCAGGAAACATTTGAGGCCTTGAGGGATGGGTAAGATCTGATCCTGAGGAAATAGAAGAAAATGACATCTCAACCAGAGTGAGGAAACAGCAGAGGTCCTGATGTTTGGAATCTTAGGGATGTTTACGGCATTAGTGGTTTGAGTTTAATGGTCTAAACAGAAGTAACTGAAAATGATTGGGTTAGATTATGGAAGCATTTGAAGGGGTTGCATCTGATTTTGGAAACAGAGGAGAAGGTGGCCTGTTTTTTTAGTGCTCCTGCCTCCTTTATGATGCTGAGAAAAAGATGTATGTATTTTACATTATTGGCTTTTGAAGCACGGTTTCCAGACCTGCAGCATCAGTGTCACCTGGAAAATAGAGATGCTGTTTCTAGGGTCCCACTCCAGACCTACTAAAATCAGAAACTCTAGGCATGGGGATCCGGCAACCTGTATTTTGATCCCCGACTCCCACCTTGATTCAGATGCACAGTCAAGTTTGAAGACTCGGGCTCCAAAACCTGACTACTCAAGTTGAGGCCTTGGGCCAGTAGCATCAGCATCACTTTGGAGCCTGTTAGAGATGAAAAATCTGCAAAATCCCAGATCTGCTGACCCAGATCTATTCTCAAGATCACCAGGTGATTCATATGCTTATGAAGAGTGTGAAAAGCCCTGCTCTGGAGGATTTGCAAAGTACAAAGAACCGCCCCCCCCCACTCTATACTGTCACCAGGTATATTCTTTGTTAATATTTCGATATAATTCCTCTGTTTTTTTCTAAGCATCTATATTTGTACAAAGTGCTCTTTTAACAAACATGAGTGGTATGAGTTGATATGTACAGTTTCCTGCTCTTTTTACTTTACATTATATGTAATTAAATAGCTTTTTAAAGTCTTGTTTTTAATGGTTTCATAATATTCCTTTTGTGTTTGTAGCATAGTGTATTTGATCATTTTTCTGTGGTCAGATAGATTGATTCCAAGTGTTTGCTATTATAAAGAACACTGAGATAATAAAAATAACAGATACCACTTATAACAATCCAGTGGAATAGGTTATTATCCCCATTTTAGACACCAGGTCACAGAGACTTGCCCAAGATCACACTGCTGATAAATAGAACTGGGGGACTTCCCTGGTGGTCCAGTGGCTAAGACTCCTCGCTTCCAAAGTGAGAGGCTGGGGTTGGGTCCCTCGTCAGGGAACTAGATGCCCAATGCTGCAACTAAGACCCAGCACAGACAAATA